AAGTTCTTGAAAATTTTGCTTTCTAATTTTTTTCCATATTCTACTTGCTCAATTGTTTGCAAGTTAAAAAATTTGAATTAGGAAACCGTTTTTCATGGAAGTGTCTGAATAATATCATATGCATTTATAACATACATAAAAATATTTCTCCTCATAATCAAAGAGAATAATCAGCCGTCTTAGTGGTGAAATATCAACATAGAATTCTATATTTATACATACATGTGGAAAGATTCAACAAACCTCTTTCATATCTTAGTACTTTATGAAAAGATCAACTAGAATCAAATTTCCTTCTGAACCATATTCCTTGACAATTGCATTTATGTGATAGGAACATGGTAATGTTGGAAGACTTGAAGATTGACTCTTCAATTTGGAAACTACTCATAAGTGGATGGAAACATCTGATAATGAGAACGTGAATCCAATGATCGTAACGACGACTTTATCAATATAACGTATACGACGACTTTATCAAAATATTCAGTGGATTTCTTCATGGGATCAGTTCTGAAAGAACGTAATGTTGAAGAATGCTCACACGATTGGACCGATCATTCCGGTGAACAACTATTACTTGAGATGTCCGCCGTAAATATGAAACAGTATATGAATCCTAGACATGTTTCGCACATGTCTCATTCGCCTAAAGGGTCAGATTCACAACTACTACTTCGATATGAATGGTGAAGGGAAGGAGTGGTTCTTTCATGTAGGAACCTCCACCGTCTAATGGCGAGAGCATTGGCAGTTTGTGAGTAGGGAAAAGATCCTCAGGAAGATGAGAAGAATCATCAGGCAAAATCAGGACAAGCTGGAGCTCCTCGGTCCATTCAGACATTTGAAGCTTGCTGTAACACGACTCGATCAGCAACTGTGGAGTGTCTTGTTTCCTTGCTGAGACAAACTTATAGCAACATCATCATTATGGAAGAAGATCTAGAATCATCATGTTCAGCTCTTCATTGATCTCTTGGAACGGAGACTTTGAAGCTTTAGCGCAACGTTCCCGATTCTTACACTTGTGAGATTCTCTTCCACTCTTATCCTTCACTATTAGCACACCCGGTGCTTGACAAGGGGTTTGATCTCGTGGTTACTCCGCTGACCACAATGTGTGTCTTTCTTTCGTGAGACATGAGCCTAATGATTCTTCGACGTGCTTTCTTAAAGCTTTCATCTAAGAGATCGCGACATATGTTGCTGTTATCATCTTGTCTTGTAACCATTGCAACTGGATTATCCATTCATAAAGATGGACAGCAGTGGAGGACCTAGCTGTGCTTGAAAAGAGAGGACAGAGCATCTAGGCCTCCAACTTCATGAACAAAAGTCAAAAGTTGCAGTTACAGGGTTACATTTCGAATTCAAAATCTCCAAGCTTTTTGTTACCTCTTCTAACTTTCGATCTTATCTATATGTTCCTCTCCTCTTATCCTCGGGTGATGACTTCGTCAGATGGCCTTGCCGTGTTCTGAGGCCGATCCTCCAATCATGGTCTCCACATCATATGTTTTCAAATCTGCCTGACAATGTTTATGAGGTGAATTTTCCAAACCAGAGCAGAGAGGAGTGTCAATGAAGTAGACGAGAAATCAAAGTGGCACACAAGGAACATGTCCAAGTTCTTTATTTCGGAGTATTTCGCATAACGGTTTGGTGGGAGTAAAAAAATTTCGTTGGGGCATTGAACGCATGACGAAGCTTTCCCAAAGTCTAACGGTATAAGTATAAAAATTGGCAAATTGCACGGGAGAAATGAGGAGAACCTGGACCATGGGAGGAAGCCAAACGAATACTATAGTCCAAGGGGTTGGGGAGGAGCGGCTGCGGATGTACAAGGGTAGACTTGTGGTCCACTAAAGAGGAACACAAGCGTCATGGGAAAGTAAAGGAGCGCCCACAAATTGTGCACACACTAAAGAAAGGAAGTAAAGGATGTACACATGCAAAATTCTGACCGATGGATGAGTACAAGGTAATTGATTTCATGGTGCGTGTGTGCACTGCCTTGGACCATACGCAGTCCTCTCTATATAGGGTGGATTCCGTATGTTTCGTATCTCAACAGAATAAATATAATTTTCAAATCAAAATACGGAATATGCGTCTTTTCTCATTTATTTCATAGAAATCTCTCATGTTTTCGGTCTAATTTGACGTCAATGTAATATATCTCCGAGAGAGATGGTACTATTTTTTATTTGTGAATAGATTTTTTTTCATTTCAGCACTGAGAAATCACTCTTTAAATTATTTCGGTGTTCGAAAATGGTCAGACTAATCTCCGAAAAAACTGCATGAGTTCAAGAAGTCTAATCTTAACACCTGGAATCAGACTGTTTAGTAGATAGATTTTTGTGAACCAAGAACATCAAAGAATAGTGTTTTCATGTCGAGAAAACCAAAAACTGTTTGTGTTCTTTCATTATTTAATCTCTGACTTTTATTACAAAAAAATTTGAACTTTCTTGATATTTTAGAATTAGTTAAATATTTTCTCGTGTTTTTAAAATTAAAAAATACTGAGGTAAACAAGGAGACAAAATACTAAATTTTGTTTGGTTAACCTCATAACGTGTCACCCTTAAGTTTTAGGTGTCACGCACAGTCACCGTTTTAGATAAGTGACTCGGTTAGTTTCTCTAGCAAAGTCACCTAAATAACAAAGATATTTTTGTTAGAAATACGGAATTTTCTGAGAATGGAATACGGTAATCCGTATATAGAGAGGCCTGACCATACGTCTCATCAAAAGTCACAGGCTCCTCCATTCTCTCTAATGCATTCTCAGGCAGGCATGTAAACATGGACACTCTAGATAGAGACGGAAGGTGTACGAGAGCATGCATTGCAAAGATGATGTCTACCGGAGGGAGGGAGGGAGGGAGGTGGGGCTCCCAGCAATCGTAGAGCACAAGAGAGAGAGGGGCATGTCATGGAGGAGCTCAAAGACCTTGAGCACTGACTTTGGAAAGCAGGTCTAGTAATGACAGGAAAGGTTTTGACGACTACAATAACAACAACAACTACCATTCCAGCTGCTGCTTCATGATAAAAAATTGAAGCCAGGAATAAGAAAAGTAGCGGGAGAGGACTCGGGGATCGGGACGGGAGGGAGTGAGGAGGAGCTAAAATGGAACAAAATTCCCGGCCAGGAAAGTGGATGCGGTGTCGATTTCTTTCGGTGCCGAGGTCGCCATGCATCGTCGTGCAACGTTTGGCTCGACCTTGCTCCCTTGCTTTCCTCCCCTCTCCTCTCCTCTCCCCTCCCTGCGCTGTCGATGTGGGCAGTGGAGAGCACTGCCTGCTGTGCTGTGCTGAGGGGAGTCGGACATGCACTGACTCGCGCACTAGATTTCTGGAACGGATGTTCTGCAGCCGAGGGGAGGGGAGGGCCGATGCTGTAGGCAGGCGAGGCGAGGCGAGGCGAGGCGAGGGCCGAGGGGTGATGCGTGAGGAGGGAGAGCACGGCAGCGAGTCGTTTGCAGCCGTTACTGGCATTCGCGAGGGGGCCTCTTTTATAATTGCTTCTTCCAATGAGCTCGCGCGGGTGCAGTCAACAGCGGCGGTGATTTTCAGAAGAGAATGTCATATTGTTGTCTCGAAGTTGTCGTTCGTACAACGACATTTATCCTCTCTCTCTAAAGAGCACTATGATCTCGTTCAATCTCGGTACATAACACTATCTAAGAGCAGCTTGACTTGAGGTAATGATTTCGCACCACCGTCTTTATGAATCTCCCCCGATAGTACTGAAGATCTTGTCGCCGATATGATCCATGAGTGAGCTCCCTTCATACGTGCCAGCTGCAAGTCAACTCGCCCTGCGGACTCCCGTATGCTCAGTACTCACTCGCTCGACCGAGCTTTAAAGCCGAGCGACAGATTTGAGCGCTTCTTAGGATTAATAATTCCGCACCGCGAGAGAAGCTCCCAAGAGCCCACACACTCCGCCGGGCGGGAGAGAGCTTTTATCTCATTCTCCTACCGGCCAGGCCATGGATCGTGAAAAAGGAAGAGTGCAGCTTTGCGCGTGGGCAAATGATCTTATCGGCCACACATCGCGGCGCAGGAAATAAACGGACGCGCAGTTGCTAGTTCACTGCTCGCTGGCGGGCAGTGCGCGCAGAGGATGAGAGGCCGCTCGCGGATGAAATCTGAAATCCGAGCAGGACAAGGGCAGAGAGAGAGAGATAGAGAGAGTGAGGGAGTTCTCTTTTTGGCTGGAAAAGGACACTATGTCATCACAGCGCCAGAGAATATCCACGACAGGAAATGAGCGGGGCGAATCCAGACGCTTCGACAATCGCACGACAGATGCTGCTGCAACATTGACATTGCCACTCACTGCACTCTCCGGTCAAACCGTAAAATCGAATCCCTGATCCAACGATCTCATGTCGCCATCATACATTCTCGTCGTCGAGCTTTAAACATCGCGTTCCACGAGAAACCCATGCATTCGCAACGCTTCGTCGGGGCTCGGGCCTCGACAGCCCACGTTTCTGCACGCACACCTTCCTGTTCATAACTCTCACGTCATCAGGCCTCCAACGTCGTAAGGCTCAGACACCCACAAGCCGATCCATGCAATCCCCAAGTGGACGACGACAAATCCCTCGGCGTGTGTCGTGAATAGGGAGAAGGAGAGGGAGGAGGAGGCAGCCCCCAATCCATCGAGCGCTTCTCGGAGACAAGAGAATTGCAGAACCCACGAGACTAGCCCGACCCACGCAGGCAGGCAGACAAGCAGGCATGCATACCATGCAAAAGTCCCGTAAGACAAGTAAGATCGCGGAAGCGCAAGAGGATGTGAGGCAAATTTACGATCGGCATACACAACGTAGAGACAGATTCAGGATGAGGCGGTGTGGTGATCAGCCCGTGCGGATATTTCGCAATTCGAGAAAAACAAGAATTTCCATGGAGGTCGTACAATGGACGTCCGGGGTGCGGGGCAATTCAACACACGATGGGGTGGACGAAATAAAAGGATTGATACACAGGATAGTATTCATCTGGTAGAAACAATGAAACAAGCTCAACAAAGCTGCCCTAGAATCTTACCTCATCCAAGGCCCAAAAAATCGCTTCACCCACTCCCACACTGGCTACTTAGTTTACAAAGTAAAAAAAAGAAAAATGTATAATCATCAGCCAGCCCATTAAATTGATTTCTTGATGACAAGACCAACAACTAAATTAATAGTCTTTCGGAGGGGACTATACAAAGCCGAGGCAATGATTGCCGTGGCAGTGAATACCATCGTCAACTAGCAAGAATTAGCCTCAGAGAAGATCGTTGTACGTAGCCAAAATTGCATCTGCCATCAAGGATTTTGAACGGCCTCTACTCGGAACTGTGGGACACATTGCGTTCGTTCGCGTGGGAAAGGACCAGCCGATCGATGATTCAAGACCCGTCCCACGACTTGCCCGGAGATGGCTGACCGCTCGGCCCCACTGACCTTTGCTGATTGTTGAAACTCATGTCCACGCCGGGGCCCAGAGGTGCAATACCGGCGAGCTCCCTTTGAGAGATTGCTCGTCCAGGCATGTTGGTAGTCGTCGCTCCTACACCCAAGAAGTCTCGGGTGAACCTGTCTCCACCGTCCTCGGTTTTGGGCAACCCGGGCATCATGGATTGCGGCATTCCTCCAGGCTGCGAGCCTCCGTGGAGAGTGTGCTGCTGCTGCTGCTGTTGTTGCTGCTGCTGTTGGTGTTGCTGCTGCTGCTGCTGCTGCTGTTGCTGCTGTTGATTTTGTTGTTGCTGCTGCTGCTGCTGCTGGGCGCCAATGTTGTCGTTGCCTCCTTGCATTCGATGTTGCATGGGACTCGTCGGGGGCATCATGCCCCCCATATTTCCAGAGTTTCCGAGAGAGCTCGGGTACATCGGTGGCAAGTTGCCCATTCCTCCGCTGAATTGAGTCAAAGAATTTATGAACTCCTGGTGCTCGTTCGAGCGACCCTGGCCACCGCCGAAGGTCGGAGGCGGCAGCGAGCTGCCCATGCCTTGGGACCCCGGAGAAGGATCTCCCGGTCTGCGGAGCATGGGGTGCGAAAGACCTCCCATGCCGCTCGAAATCGGAGGGAGGGAGCCGGCCCTGCCCTGGTCCTGCCGATTGGGCCCTTGCCAGAGGGCACCGATGGGAATCGAGTTGTTGTTGTCGGTCCCTCCGCCCTGGCCCCCTTGCCCGCTGCCTCCTTGTCCTCCTGGTCCTCCTCCCATTCCAAAGCCTCGTAGCAACGACGAATTGCTAGCGGTCGCACCCATCTGGGCAGCCTTTTGTAGAAGAGCAGTGGCCGACATTTGAGATGTCGACGTGTGTTGCTGTTGCTGTTGGTTCAAAATTGACGACACCGAAGGAACCGTACCTGCACCATTGTTGTTGGCAGAAGATGAGCTCGAGGTCATTCCTGCCGAAGATGAGAGTGTGAGTCCTGCAGCACCTGAACCACCCCGTTCGAGCCGGGTTGGAGCACCACCTGTAAAGTCTGAGAATCCTCCCGACATGTTGCCCATTTGCATGTTCCCGCCGCTTTGGCCCGGGCCGGACTGCTGCATGCCTGCCAGCCCGTTGCCGGAAGCGAACAGATTGGCGAAGATGCTGCCGGGGCCGGGAGGAGGCATCTGCATCATCCCGCCTCCCGAAGGGCGAGGCGCCTGCGGAATGTCGAAGTCCGACCCGCCCATCATGCTCGACATCCCCGACCCGTGCATGCCCTTCGGCGGTTGCATGAGAAATGGCGAATTCGCGTCCATGGGATTCATCTGAGAATTGCCTCCGAGCTGCAGCTGCGGGCCGCCCATGAGCCCCGGAGGGCCAGGGCCAGGGCCCGACCACAGCGAGAGCCGCGTCCCGGTGCCTGGCGTCGTCGGCCCGGCGCCGGGGCCTGGCTGCCCCCATCGTCCTGCGGGAATCGGCAGACTGCCCTCGCCCATCCCCATCCCCGGGAAATTCCCAGCCATGCCAGGCCTCGGCGGAGTGTTTGCCGAGAGCGGGTCCATTTGGCCCCCGCCCATGCGCACCACGCCCTGGCTGCGGGGGCTCTGCGGAGCCCCCATCACCGACATTCCACCTGCGGACGGACCTGCGCCCATGCTGTGGTCGCCGGGGCCTTGCCCGGGCTTGCCAGCGCTAACTCTCGCACTCTCCTCCGCGAGGGCATCGCAGAATGCTCGATGCGTGATGAAGCTGTCCCGCCTGCCAAGCACAACCACAGTTCGCACCAAGGGGCCAAATTAGAACACGACGCAGCCCCTCGCCTTCGCCTTCTGGCGCAAGACGCCCCCGACCGCAAGCCCCGGCGGACCCTCGCTCTGCGGGGGAGTCCGCGACTGAGACGCAGAGTGCTGCAATGCTCGATGCAGCAGCACCATTTCGACCAGCAAGAGCTACCCAACAACAAAGACGACGACCTTCCAAGCTTTGGGGTCTCAAACAAAGGCTGTGAGAATACAAGAGATGGGCAGACGCGGGGGGAATATAACACACCTAGAAAACAGCGTGCCACAATCACATCGATACTCTCTAGTACCGCAAGTCTTGGAATGGGCTTTCCAATCAGATTGCACGGCGTATCGTTTCGAACACTTATCGCATTTCCACTTCTTCTCACCGTGCTTGCGGCAAAAGTGCTTCTTTATACCCGTCAGGTCCCCGAGCGCTCGAGAAGGCTCGTGGTGGACGCAGGTGGGCTCGGGGCAGATGTAGACTCGCTTGCGAATCTCCTTGCTGGTCCGTTGTCTGAGCTTCCACGGAAGATTGTGCCCTCGTCTGTGAAGCTGCAGGTTCTGGTCCCGTTGGAATCCCTTGTTGCATATCTCACAAACGAACCTGTTCGTCGCCATTAGAGTCTTGGGCGACAGTGCTATGACCTCCGCATCGGGGTCTGCAAGAGCACGCAGCAAATTTTTAGATGGAGCTCAGATTCTACGACATCTTTTCGTAACATTTTCTAAGACAGAAAGGAGCTCAGACAACCAGTACAACAGTGTTCTTTTCCACTGAAATTTTCGACGGAAAATCAACCATCTCGGTGACATGCATGTAACCTCAAGACCTTGAGCGTTCGGTAGGAAAGCATAGTATCAGAATGTAAATTCTTGTGAACACACAGGAAACGTTCAGATTGCATCAACATAAACACAAGACTTTTGTTTCAAGTCCGAAATGTCATAGCTCGGATGGAGCTCAGATTCATCGACAATTAGGCAGGCATTGACAGACGCCACTCGTGCGCGAGGCAATCCGGCCGGAATTCGACTGAGTGGCTGGCTCAGACAGGCCTCGCGTCACGATCCAAGCTAGACGCTGATCTGACCCGGGAGGAATCGAGGTGTGTGATCGCAAATCGAAGATTGGGCAGATTGAGAAGATTCAAATCCGAACTCACCAGGAGTGCCAGGGAGATTGCGCTTCCGCTTGACACCGGGCTGTCCACTGGCAGTAGTGTTGGTGGTGGTGGTGGGAGTGGCGGGGGTCGCAGGGTTGTTCGTCTGTCCTCCCGAGGGAGGCACCGTGCTGGCATCGCCGCGAGTCCCCGAGGAGACGCTGGCCTCCCCCGAAGCGGAGGTAAGATTTGAAAGTGTCATGGCCGACAGACCGACCCCGTTGCTGTGCGGGCTGTTTACCGCTCCGCCTCCTGTTTCCTGTGCTAGAGCGCCTCGCTTGGCACGCTTACCCGAGCTGGTGCCATCGCTGAGGCTGCTACAGCTGAGCTCAGCTGAGCCGAATGACAGAAGCTCCGACTTGGCCTCGACGAAGAGCGTGTTACTAGTGTCGCCTATCCCGTCTACTTCACAACCACGCAAATCTCCACCCTTGAGACCAGCCGCCCAATTGCTGTTGATGTTATTGGAGTTATTCCCAAACCAAGGCGCATCCGTGGGCGCGAGCAGCAGCGAAGGGAGCATGACCGTCAGCACTCGAGGGCAGCGCCGTGCGAGACACCTTCGAGCAGAAGTGCGCTTCTCATTCCCATTCTATCCAGTCCTCGGCGCCTGGAATCTCTGCCGCTGCTGCTGCGTTCCCAGGGTCTTTGCCCAGCGGGATGAAAAAGATGTGAGCTGGGATTATCGGGATGTGCCTTCTTATACTTCGTCTGCTGCTGCTTGTGTTGACGCGATGCTGCCGCTGCCGCTGCTGGAGTCCAGAAGCGGTCGGTCGAGACTATCACTCGACGAGCTTACTATGCTTAGTGTGAACGACGGTGTCTCTATCGCCCGAGCCAACCCGTCTCGGACAACAAGAAGCTATGAACTGAGGCGAGAGTTTCGGTGGGGCAGGTGGCGCAATCTCGTTCCCGGGGCAGCTCCAAGCTCGAGCTGCGCGGTGACTGTCTAGCGTCAGGTCCAGTCGGGAGCGAAACAAGTCCGGCAAGAAACACAAGGCGCCGCCCGCAATCACCGCCTGCGCCGCACGAGAGAGCGACAGTCCGCGAAGTTCTGCAGGCAAACGCTTCGGAACTCAAGGACCGGAAACGCCAGGCGAGGTGCCCCGGGCCAACTCCTCAAACCACCCCACGCCACTGCCTCCTGGATCTCAGTCCGTGACGATTTGGCGCTCTATCTGCGAGCTGGTCGACACGCACTCTATCGATAACAACTGACTGCGGCTGCTTCCCTAGGTAGAGATTTTCTCGACCTCCTCCTCCTCCTCCTCGTCCACCTCCTCCTCCTGTGAACCTGCTGCGAGCGCGCGATTTCCAGCCAACTTGCGCTTCGGCTCACTTCCCTCCGCCCTCGCGAGCGACCGCGAGCAGACGCGGCAGCAATCGCAGTAAGAGACTCCGCTGTTCGCTCTCTCTCGTCCAACTTCCAGCCAAGAAAAGAAAAACCTCCCGAGACCAACTCGGCCGACGTGCAGCCGCTGCGGTTACGGGCCCAACTAAGAAACAGGCCTTCGCAGCTGCTGCCAGCGTCGTCGTTCTCCTGGCGTGACCTCTTGCGGCAAGATGTAAAGACGGACAGACACACACACACACGGCCGGACAGAAAGAGCGATGATGGATGGTGACAGCCACAGTCGATAAATAGGCACTGGGAAGAGGTGGATTGATTGATTGATTTCCTGCTTGCTTGCTTGACTGATTGACAGATTGATTGCCACGGGTTCACAGACTGAGGGGAGGGGAGAGCGAGAGAAGGCGGGGGGAGGGCAGGCGGTGCGAGCGATCGGAAAATCTAATGCTGCGGGAGTGAGACTGAGAATGACGAGCCGGACAGTGTAGCGAATTTGAACCCACTCGGCCGATGAGGCAGGCAAGGCAAGCAGCACAGGAAGAGGGGGCAAGGAAAAGCCCCGGCCAGCCCCAGAGATGGAGGGAGGGAGTGAGGGCAGTGAAGCACGAGGTGGAGGGTGGGGAGGTGGAGGAGCAGCAGCAGCAGCAGCAGAAAAACAGGAAGCAAGCCCAGCCCAGCCCGTCCCGTCCCAAGGTCTCGTCGCAGACACACAGACAGACGGACAGACACACGAATGAATGAGAAGATGGCGAGAATGAGAAGAAAAAGGAGAAACAAGGGCTTCCGGCGCAGGTTCGGGCCCGAGCCTGCGCGACTCGGCGGGGGCTAGAATATATTGGCACCACAATATCTGGGCTGCCTCGGTAGCCCCGCATGATGCCATGGTACCATGACGCAGGAATATATAGTAGTATTAGAGGGCCGCCTCGGTTCGCCCGCATGCACATCCCCCATGCCCATACATGTCACATGGCCCCATCCCGTACTGCCGTCGCCGGTCTCCCCCGAAAATATTCCCCCCGGGTTGTTTCGCTACCTTCCCGCCTCGCCCTTTTTCCCCTACCCCTCCACCCGTTCGAGTTTTAACCCCTCCCCCGTCATTTCTTGTACCCGCGGCCTGCCTCGCTAAATATAGCGCTCGCCGATAGTGCGATATCTGTAGAAGGAGGTGGGGGGTCGGGGTGGGGGGCTAAAGAATGGGGCGCGGGAGGGAAGCTCTTGGGTGCTTGTTGTCCCCCTCCTTTACAGCTTTCAGCGACTAAATAGAGTGAGCTCGAAGGCTCGCATGCAGCATAGACAAACGAATCCAATCCAAGCTAATCCATCCATCGCGCACTAATCCAAAACAAAGGAATTCTCTGCGGTCAAAGGTGGGGGCACGCGACTGGCTGATGCGAAACGCATCGAACCGTGGTTGGCTGACACCGCGTCTAAATCTGCACTAAGCTTACTTGGGGAGTGCTTCAAAAAAAGCAGCAGATTAGTAGGGGCTGAGTGGACGCTTTGTTCCAAAAACAGAGGATTTCTGCAAGGTCAAGGTCAAACGACAAGCTGGACGGTGTGGTTGAATGGTCCTTGTCTAACCACAGTTAAAGAGCCTGGCTCAGGGAATAAAGCCCGCAGTTAATACTCGTTTGCCATAAAAAGAAAGAAGAAATTTGGCTTTCTCCATGCTCCACTCTAATGACCACGTCAACCCCCTGCCCTCCCCCCCTCCAATTCGAAATAAGATCAGCTCTCCACATACAGACACACACTTGTCCACACAATTTTCTTTCTTCTGCCTGTCAAGTTTCGGCAATTTTTCGTCCTTTCCGTGGTCATAATCCGAGCTCCTCATTAATGCTCCCCCCAATCTTCCCTTATAACCTCCCGAGCACCTTTCTTCTCCTCCCCCCAATCCCATCCCATCCCATCCCATCTCATCCCTGGGTCGGCTCAGCTCAGTTCAGCTGAGCTGAGCTCGAGATCGAGATCAATCATGAGTTTCGACATGAAACGCTTCACCTGAAGCGCGATGAACCAAACGATCGAGCTCGGTCATCTGACCTGATCGCAACATTAATATCTCATGACCAATTGGATTAAAACTTAAGACGGGATATTTCCCCCGGATGCAAAAGCTGCTCAGCGATTTGTCCCATGCAGCCAGCATCAGCATCAGCTGCAGCGCTCGCTGGAGTGTCCCGAGCGCGGATCTCTCAGGAACCCCGCCCTCTTTCGCGGTCGCGCTCGGTCACCCCTTCACCTCCGACCCGCCGGTGAATCTTCTGAGCCCGCACTCAAGTTTGTGCCATGAAGGAGCGCGTTTTGTCGTCCTACTCCATGGGAACGGGTTCTAATTGCGAACTGTTTTAGCTCGCATCCGCTTTAATTTGACGCCCTGGAACATAGTAGACTTGTGGGCATGCTTCAATCATGCTCGTCGTCCTGCGCTCGCCCTTGCCATCGACTGTTTCCGCTGGATCGCAGTTCCAAGTTTGAATTGAAAACAACTGCGAATCCACCTTTTCCAGCTTAAATGGTGGCTTTGCTTAACGGGGCCGTTTTGCCCCTTAACTTTTTGTTCTTTTGTTCTTTACAATATTCCGTCCTTCTTTTCCCTCGCCCCCTTGTCCTCTCCCTCGGCCCCTCTCCGACCTCCCGGCAAACAACTTTCATCCTTGTTCCTTCCCCGATTAAACTCGACATTCTTCTCCATGATTTCTTACCAATTATACGTCGATGAGGAGTCGAATGGGAGGGGAAGGGGGAAGCGGTAGGGGAGTCCCTTGAATGGAAGGGGGTTGCAAGAGAGAACTGGGGGGCAGAGGAGGGGCAGGGCCAGGGGTGTAGGGGCAAGAGGGGGCCCAGGACGGGCGAGGCAGTGGATAGTTAATTAAGCATGTACTTGTGCCTTGTGCAGCGCGTTCAGATCGATGGAAAGAATTTATACGAGTGGTCTTATCCGGGCCCAGAAGGGAAGGGGGTAATGGGGGGGGCGAATATTTTTGAGACTCGTTCCCGCAATCGTTCCCATGTGCTGCCCGGAAGATACCGAAAGGGGCCCCGATGGATGATAAATCAAAAAAACGTCTTCGGTGCTCGATCTTCGATTTGCAGCACTCACTCGCCGCTTCGAGATCCCAATATTTTGAGCAGCAGCAGCAGCAGCAGCGCCGAACTGCTGCTGCTGCTGCTGCTACTACTGCTTTTTATTATAATGGTGCGCTGCTGCTGCTGGTGGTGCCTCGGAGGTCGTCCCGAGACCCATCCATCGAAGTATTCAACGAGTTTCGTGTCAAATGGCCATCATCGACGAACGCAAGGAAGGGAATCCATTAAATTATTGGGCTCGCCCCTGCGGCCTTGGGTTCAAGCCCGGAATAAAGCTGTGGAGGGTCACGAGGTTGGCCAAATTGCCACTAGCGGCGTGTTTCGCCTTCTCTCCAAATAATCCCAAGATAGATCTTGAGGCAATCTAGTCGCTCTGTCGATTTAAATGAGCCGATTGACCGGTCACGTTAGACCATGCTGCCACAGTTTTTCAGGAGATGCGATCAGCGATCTCGAAATAAATTAAGGTCCGGCTGCCCATCTCTAACACCCACAAGCCATAATGATGCCCAGCGCATGATGATGGCCGTTTGAAATTCGCTGCATGAGGCGGGGCTTAATCTGAAAATAACCCCCATCCCTCCCTTATCCACTCGACTATTCTAACCCCACGAGCTCGATTTTTTCCTCGCCCTCGCCCTCGCCCTCGCAATTCTCCCATTCCTACCTCTTACGCGGAGGAGGTACGTGACAACTAATTACCGTACTGGCGCTGCGGGCCTGCCTCTGCTATAAGCCCGTGGGGAGTGGGGAGTGGGGAGTGCGGAGGGGGGCTGCTTTTCATCATAGTGATCGCATTATTCGCATTATCGATGAATTTCATTCTTCCCTCGTTCATTACGCAACCAGAGCATGACGGCAAATCGCTCCTCCAACATCCCATCATTGAGGGGGCCGCGCTGGTCGAGCTGATCTAAGCGGGTGAGAGCAGAGTCAAATGAAGTCGAAGGGAGCTGCTTTCTATCCAGCCCTTGAATCGCATGCGGTGCGAGAATAAGTCGTTACTTCAACGCAAAAATCATTCCATCGTGTACAGCAGAGGCAGCAGGTCAAATCCTTCCTCCTCCGAGGAAGAAGGATTTGAAATGCATTTTTTTATGAGGTCGACGAGGAGGCTCCTCCTCGTCGACCTCATAAAAAAATGCATTTCAATCTTGTCCCATTCTCGTCTAACTGGGGGAATCATTTCAAGGCCGGAGAAATATCGCCGGCTTGAAAAATTCGTTTTCTAAGAAAATTATTGTGAACTTATTTTCGACCTACGCCTTTTCAGAGTTGAAATCTCGACCTCCATCCATGCATCTCTCCATGCATCCTTCATCCTTCATCCTTACGGTAGGGTGACGGTCTTCTTGCGAGACCAGTCGATGATTTGATAGATTGATAGATGAAACCTCGCTACATTATTGCCGTCCTCTCCAGTGCGTGATTACTCGCTCTCCTCGCTCCCTCGGCTACGCGAAGACGAGGAACCAACGAGGCCCCGTAGCCACCCTCTGAAGAAATGTGCTTATTACGCCCCAGCAGCCCCTTCCTCTAGCCCCAAAGCGCAGACGTACGCATCGGTATAATGTATAATATAGGAGCGGCTAATGATTTGACGTTGCACGCAAGCAATACGGGGGGTTAAACGGGGGCAGGGAAAAGGGAGCGCCTCTACCCCCACCCCCCACCACTTCATTAGCCCCCCGCCCTCCAACCCTCATTGAAAAAGAGCTTCCTTCAGCCCCTCCGCTCCTACATTTACCCCCGGGTCCAGCCAGCCCCTGCCACCCTACATAGTAAGTTCATCCCGTCTTGCCAGCATGAGCAATGATTTACATTCAAAAGCCCATGGTTTTGGAACGGTCAAAAACACCCTCTTGCATGCCAACTTCTATCTCTCTTCTCTCTCTCTCTCTCTCTCTCTCTCTCTCTCTACATCTGAGTTCAGTGGGGGGAGGGGTGATGGTGGTGGTGGCCTGTAAAGGATTGGGGACAAGAAAACACCAAGAGCAGGAGCAACCAACCAACCGCCTCGTATGGAGCTCAGGAAAGAGAAAAGAATGTTTATTTTTTTAATATTCGGGGGGATCGACCGTTGGGGGCGATCGTGTGAGTGTGCAGTTTGTTTCGACAGAAATCCGTAAAAGTCTGTTCGTTCATGTGCATGAAGACTTCAGACTCAATCTAGGATCGCTGCGATCGGAAGATGTGACGGAGGGGGTTAAAGAACAATGTAGACCAAGAGCATCCCCCTCTGTTCCAGACACTCATCATCTTCATCATCATCTGCTGCTGCTGCTGCACCTCCTCGTCCTCATACCTCATCTACCAGAATCATGGTTTTTTGAGCTCCAAAAGGTAAAATTCCCGGCGGTCTGTCTTCAATGTGGGCGCGGAAAAAATATCATGAGTGCTTTGATTTAGGCCTGCATATGACTTTTCTAACACATTCCATCTACTGAGTGCGCGTTATGCCCTGAGATTTGCACCTTAAAGACTAAAAGAATTGGGAGTATCTTTTGGACCCCAACCTTTGAGATTCCTACGAGTGAGAAGTGTTGAGCAATTAACCACTAGGCTCCTTTCACGATTTGTACATACGACGTAAATGCAAAGGATGCTTTTCTAGATACATTCTTCC